GAGCAAGGACGCTACTAGTAGCTCCTGGCATCGCTACTAGGAGCAAGCCCTAAGCATCCAGCGTGGGTAAATAGTTCATACATTCAGACCCGTAGGAAGATTCTGAGCACATCACCTTGACATTGCCATATGTAGGCAGAATATGGTCACATCAATCTTGATTCGATTTCCGATACTTCTTACCCTAGGTCAAAGTGCAGCATCACACTCCCAGCACCCCTTTTCTCTCATGCGGGCCCACGCTTCACACGTGGATGTTTCACCCGAAGGAGCCACCGCATGCACACACGCAGTTCAAGGGCCTGTCCTTAGACATCACCACTCAGCAATATGACAACACACATGTGGCCTTGACTAGTAGGTGCACGACACAAGCAAACCAAAAGAATACAAATAGAAAAAAGGGTGGGTTGAACCCAGGGCCAGCATCGGTGGACTTTCCTCGCTAGAGCCTTACATTCACCCATGAAGTCTTCGTCACCGTAACAATGCGAGTCACCTCACACATAACAGAATAAATACCAAATAAAATTTGTTCCCACTCATGTGGTATTCCAGTCCAGAGTTGGTAATGTTGAAAAACACAGGAAATACCTACCCAAGGGACGGCAATTCTCTTGAAGTTCTCGCTGCTCCTTCAGGATTTCCATGAATGCCTGAGGATGTGGACCCACATATTCACCCAGGTTGTAAACACATGGGCCAAAAAGGCAAAATTCCAAAACCCTCTTCCACACTCCATTTGATGACATGGCACATGGAGTTTGGGAAGTACAGGGAACCGAGCAATCCCACGATTGACGAAATATGCAGACAATGCCTTGTAGGTCCTGCAGAACCTTGCTTGGCCCGTCGCGGCGTCGCGGGTTCAAGGATTTTATGCATGTATATGCGCTTCACAAGCTTCCATATTTTAAAACAAACAACAGCACCAACAACAACAACAACCACATTTCGTCGTATTTGGGACCAAGAACTCCATACCGGTATCATACAGGCGCTGCGCTTGTTCTGCAGTAAGTTCAATTGGGCACGTCTCCACATCCAAGCTCCAATTGGATAGTTGGGTTAACAAAAGTGTGCAAAGACGAAGTTCTACACTTTGTTCTGAGGGGGCACGTGCATTGCACGCGGAGCGTAGGCATACGGCCAAGAACGTTACCATGATCCGTGTAGCATAGGCTTTCAGTTTGAGCTCCCCTCGAACTGCATCAAAATGACCCGTTGTGATAAAATGCATTGCATACCTAGAAAAAGTCAGATATCCGACAAACAGCTAAAAGATTTTGTCAACCTCTTACAGTAATTGAAAACGTAAATGTTTTCACGTGTTAGATACTGGATTGCATTGGCTGCGATCCACTGCCGGAACCGCATGGTCAGCACCTCCAGCTGATCCTTGAGGTTGGTCGTCCCTCGGCCTCAATATGGGAAGGGTAGACCTAGGCCTCATGCAATGATGCATTTTGGGGGGTGAAGGTAAAACTTGTAAAGCTTACAACAGTACTGGCAAAGGTGCCGAAGAAATCCAAACTCATGAGGCATAGGAGTGCCCCTCCGGTGCAGAAGTGTGCCACACCAAGATGCAGCACATGCATCATGCAGAATCTGATGTTCTGAGGGCAAAACCCCACTGTGAATGCCAATGGGTTAATGTACCCTTTCCTGGATGTGGTTGCAAGCCAAATCCAAAACACAACTTGTATTTATAGGGGTTGGGTGAACAATTCTAAACTAGAACAGAAAAAAACAGGCACCAGGCTTCAATGCCCTTGTGAAGAACTGTGCAGGGTTCATCCGGGGAATCTGCTCAAAGTTGTCAATGTTGTGATACCTTGTTTGGTTGGTGCAAGATTAGAAAAGAAACCGTACTAGTTAAGAAAACTGTATGCCAACACACCCATGCATTAAGATTCCTCCCCTACCCACAAAAAGGGTTTGCCAAAAAAATAACTTTTCCTGGCCAGATGCACATGTGGCCCGTGGCCTCCGGTTGCAAAACACTTGAAGCATACTCCATCCCTGAAGGCCCAATGTCGTTTCATGTTCCACGATTCTCGATGCCACTTCCAGTCGCCCCTGGATCACAAGAAAGGTCGACCTATCCCACACTGGTTTTTAGGTTGCAAGAACACATATTTGGCAACACCTGACCTGATGGAGCAAAGTGCATACGGCCCACCATGAATTTTGGAACCAGCTTTGGAAGCACGTGCTCCAGTCAATTTGTGGCCCATCATGTCAACTGATGGATAGATACCCGAATACGCAACCTCTGTGTCCAAAACCAGCCCTGCACAACTATACCTTTATATACGTATTTGATATGGGAAGGCAAAACATAAAGTTGAACTAGAAACGTTCAGGCTCCACGCTATCACCCGGTAGAGGGGATCCAAAGTAGCAGGCCCCAGTGACAGCTCACAGCGGAAGGTGGCCAAGAGAAGCCGGTGAACATCAAGACCTCGGAGTTCAGAATTCGGTACCCTGGCTGGAAAGCGTGACCAACCCAACTAAGATAACAAAGTCTTGTGCACAAAAGAATTGCTAATCAGGTTTAGTGACCATTGGTTCTGATATCATTGGACTGACTCTTCTTTGCGCGATCGACCAAAATCATGTTCACACATATGATTACGATCTTGGCTCCCCCCAAGGGTATATTTTGCATCGTCCCCTGCTATTCCCAAAGGGTTATGCAACTCAGCTTCTTGAGCTGGATGGTATGGCTTAAATTGCTTCCACCTTTGCCAGAACTGCTTGATTGCCTCCGGAGATACGTAGAACCGGCGATGTTCAGCTAGCCAACTGAGCAGCTCATGCACCAAGACCACTGGCACCCTCATGGTACTAGTTTGATGGTGTCTTTGTGGGTGTTTGCACGGAACTTCAACCATCTGCGGTTCCTTGAGGCAACGCAAATACCGCGTGGTCCATGATGAGAAAAGACAAATCAACACAAAGAAACAACATTGATAACAAAGCATATGCTCAGCCACTACAGGAAGGGAAAGCACACGGAATAGATCTCGTTCACAGTTCCCTGGAAACTTGCCATAGGACCCAATTCTGGCTATTGAGCGGGTGACCTTTGAGCATGCCCCACCTGATTCCTGTACCATGCTATACGCTGCTTCCTGAAGTTCGGCGCAACTAGTTGCTCCACGCCCCAAGGAGGCCAGCAACGTGTCCGCAAAAGGCATCTCGTCTTCTGCAAGCTGACCTGCGGTGGGAGGGTGCACTGTCATATCAAACTCTGTTGAAAGGTGATGCATGTCTAATTGGCTCATAAGTTTTTTTTTCAGATCAGCTGCATGTCTTTCATGCCTCGTCCCACTTGCACATCTAGCTGAAGAGGTTTGGTCCTAGCTCTTTGCTAGTTGTACAGCACCGAATGGCAATACTCTCATTGCCACCTCAAAGACCCCAGCCCCGAGGGAAGCATGAGATCAACCATTAAGTATCTTCCTGCTTAAGTGAAACAAGTGCCTTCAAAATCGCTTTCCCCCCCGAGGATCACTTACCGCGACCTTGAGATTTGAGATCGCACATCAAAACGCTCAAGCAGAGCCAACTGGATCGGGCTGCTTGGCCTTTGAAGCCTTTGGCTTCGGTTTGGCACTTGCTTTCTTGACATGTCCAGCCGCAGTCTTGTAATCCTTTACAACTTTGACCAATGACTGCGTGGCCACACGAATTTCGTCCTCATCCTTGCCTTCGGCAATCTTAGATTCCAGCCCAGTGCGTGCAGTCTCAAGTGCACTCAAATGGCTACTAGTGTCCTTCACCATTGCCTCCACCATATTCTCTGGCCTGTAGCGGTCATTGCGGAACATATTCACGGCGCACGAGGGTTAGTGCTAGTGTCAGAGAAAACCAAGCTAAGCTGACTACAGTCCAGCACCCGAAAGCTTTGACCGCCATGACTTGCACTCAAGAATAGCTTCCATTGAGGATTTCATTGCCTGGGGTACAGGTAGTGCTGCACAATTTTAGAAAATAGTGCTTGAAGGACCCCCAGCAAAACAGTCCACAACAAATTTAGTCCGAGTGCCGTTGTTGCTTCTTGAACTGCGGTCTTTGCTTTTGGAAGACGCTTAGGTTTGGGTTCTGGCTTGGGTTTGGGTTCCGGCAGACGCGAAGAGTTCTCACCAAGCCCACCATGCTTCAAAAGTCCTGTTGGAGCTGAAGCCATCAAAGGGTTCGACCTCATGGGCCACGCAGAGACACCTACAAGGGTCGGGATTCCAGTTGCCAATGCTCAGGTCACGACATCAGATTCTTGGCTGTAGCAGCGTCAAGGCGTCCAGACATGGAGGTTCCCACTTCATTCACTCGAGCATCCTTTTCGGTTTCTGACGTGGTTTTCCAGCACCAATACAAGCGACACTCCTGAAAAGACTGCATATGTCTAGTCCATACAGTATATGAATCGTGAATTAATAGATACACAGAACAGACAGCGTCAAAATCCTCCAAGTCTGGAACGTCGGGGTTTGGCTCAAACTGATTGTTGGCTGTTTTACGGCTGATGAGGTCGGCCACAAGAGCTGGATCCTTATACTTCTCTTCCAACTCCTAGGTGGGCAGGGGCTTGTTGTTATATATATATATTTTTTCAAAACTCTATATATCCTGCGCACATGTGTATACCAGTGCCTTCAAGGCACAATCTTGGACATAAGGCTCCAGCACCCCGTACGAGCATGTTCACGAACAGATTTATTCTGAGTCACAAGCGAACAGTTCAAACAATTTCCACCGCACTCCACAAACATGTTGAAGAGCTCGTCCCATGCTTCTTGGTTTCTGCCATCGCCTAGAACACATTACAGAATACTTGTCGCTAATAATCACTAATATGAAGAAGCAAAAGAAAGTAACAACATCCCCAACCTGACTGAACCTCCTTCAGTTTCTGTTTGATCACAGCTGGGCAAGCAGGGCCTCAGATCTATTGCATGTAACATCATGTAACTATCCCGTGTTTGGCTACAATGTGGTCGCATGCATTTTTTAGGGTGAACCTCATGCCGTTCAAGCAACTCCTCATTGAACGGTGCCATCTAGCCTTCGTTGCTCGGAGTGCTTTCTGTCGGGTATCATCGACACTTGCCTCAAACAACAGGTTGAACAGAACGCCTCCATATAGCAACATATATATATATATGTGATTACCCAACTAAGGATACTACTTTTGCTGGCTCCTGAACTGCATTGGGCTCTGGAGACACCACTGCATCATGCACCACAGCTGCGCTTGGTGGTGGGGGTGGCGGGGGTGCCAGATCAACCGTTGTAGCACGGGTGAGGACAGCCCTGATCGCACTCAAGGGGGCATCAGCATTGGTCGTTGGACTTTGGGATTTCTCTGGAGTGGCTGGGCGACAAGTACGTTCAGCTTGACACCACAGGTGAAAAGCCGCAATCTCTTCCAGGGGTTCTGAAGTAACACCAAATACATAGTTGGCATACTCCTGACCACGTTGTTTGATATTCGCCACAAAAGCTGGCAAACTGGTGTGGCCCCGGATGCGCTCAATTTTGGTCGAGATTTCTCTATCATCCAGCTTCCTCAGGGGCTCCAGCACAGCGTCAAAACTGTGCTCTGTCAACAGCTTCTCAAACTCAGCAGTAATGGTTTTGTCAGGCATCACCTCACTAGGGGCTGCAGCTGGCAAACCAGGTGCATCACTAGGGGTAGCGATCTTCTCAGCTGGCAAATCACATCCATCAGTAGGCCTAGGGGTGACCTCCATTTGAGCAGGAACCACCTGTGTGTCACTGAGTCCCAATTGGTTGTCCGGGCTTTCCGGGGAGTCTGTAAGCACAATCACTTGTGGGTGTGTGCTTGAGACAGGATTCGTGGTAGTTGTTTGTGCATCCACAGTCACAGGGGCAGCAATTGGTTCAGAAGTAGCTGTGCTTGCAGCTGCTGAGGGTTCGATGGTTGGCGGAACAGTGGGTGGTGACTCCTCAGTCAAAGACTTGGGCACCATGTGTGGCTTTGCCTTTTTGAACCTTGCCCAATACTCAATCATCGCCCTGGTGGGGGTTGCGACAGGCACCACACCAGGAGCCTCAGCTGAGGCTGTTGGGGCATCATCACGCGGACGCTCTGGAGCAGCAAGGCCATCTACAACGACCGTGGAGGGCTGGGTCGGCTGGGTCATATTCTCCTGAGTCTAGTTGCAACTCCAAAGGTTTCCTCATTCAAAACTGAAAAGGTACCACACAACAAACTAGGCTAAGGAACTGCCAGTGCATCCATAACACCAGGAGATAGAGAGATCGTGGTAAGGTGAGACAAAGTGTCTACTTCCATAGGCTCCACAATGGTAGGCTCTGGTGAATCAATCATCTCAGGCACCAGGGCCACAGGAGGGGGGTTCACGTGTCCCTGAACCTCAATAGGCTCTGAAGGGGAAGTCACGGCGCCCGCCATGGGTTCCACAGGGTCAGAAGATTCGTTCGTCTCCGGCGCAATAGCCGCAGAAGATGATGATCCAGCACCTATTTCTGACACAAATCACACAGAGGCTTATCACTAGGAAGTGATCAAAAGCTGTTCGGGGCACAAAGACATGCACTCCCACCTTCAGTCACAGCATCAAAACGAGTCATCAAGTTACAAACTGATGGCGCTTCATCTGCGCCAGTAGTGGTGTCTGATGACAATGATGTAGCGGTGCCCGATTTGATGAGCTTTGGATCCGGCGTGACCTTCTCGGCATCCAAGGTTTTGTCCTACCCATATGCATGACCCAATGCAAAATGTGTTTCACTCTGAATCCTTAACCACAACTCCTTGGCCACCTGGTCTTTCTTCCGCTTTGGTTGCATGGACAACGCAGGAGGCAAAGTTTGCACAGCAACTTTGGCCCTTCGTGCCGCAGCTGCATTCAGAGCAGCCTCAAGGGCCTCCAAGAAGCAGGGAGACAAACGATCCTAGAGCTTTAATAGTAGAATCAAAAAGTTGGGCCTTTGTCCCAGCTTTCATTTCATCACTTTCTCCACGGCTAGGTGCACGCGAAGATGCCATGTCACCCAATCAAATCAACTCTCGCTTGGGGGTTCAAACAGCTTCAGCTGATGCACTAGAGAAACCAAGGCCTGTTGAGGTGAGTCATGAACTGGACGGTTCGCTCGTCACGGTCTCGTTACGGTCGGTTCGATACTTTCGATAACCCCCGCCTTTAAACTTAAAGCAAATGGTTTATTTTTCGATAACCGTCGTTACGCCTCGCGACGGTCTCGTCACGCTGTTTGCTGTTAGGCCCACATGTGTTGGCTCGTCAGTTGGCGTCCCCCATATAGACCACTAGGCACAGCAACAGATTACAACCTACTGTGATTGCATGTTTTTGCTTGTGCTTTCAGTAGCCACAAGCTCGAGACTAGTCGGTCTTTTGCAGTCGATGGGGGTAAGCCTTCAATTCAAATAATTCTGAATTTATGATGTGGTCAAACCACAACGATGTCCTCCAGGTTTGAGATCAAAAGTCTGCCCTCTAGGTTTTGAAAGCAATATTACAACTCATCTCAACTTTCTAAATTTCAGCGTGTAGCTCACAGTGGCAGATCTGGTTGAGGAACAAAAATACCACTATGCTTTGCATTCAGCAACATTTGTCGCAATGGTTCCAAATTGGCGTGGCTCCAATTAAATGGAGCACGCTGCACGGATACAGGCATCTCAATCTCCAAGCGATCAGCCTGCTCCTAGCAGTCGAGCAAAGTGCATTAAGCATGATGCAAAAAAA